CCTCTTGCGTGCACGAGCAGCTGGATAGAACAGGTGGAAATTTACGCACGTTTCCTGAAGGTAGAAGAGTTTGTTGAATCTGACGTGACATGTTCGTACGAACCCTTTGTACGAACAAAAGTAAGAGAAATTTAGGATAAAAATACGAACATGTTCTTGCATGAGGCCCATTGTTCCTCTCCATTTCCAGTTTCACAAGGGCATGCTCGGAGGTATTGACAATTTATAGGTGAAACACTAATATTTAGTTTTTAATCTTTTCTTAGAGACAAACCCCTCCAATCAAGTGTTTTTCCAGAGTAAACCAGGTATCAACCTTTGATTTTACTCTAATACTCTTGTTGGTGATTTAGGATAGTTTTAGCTGAGCTTGCACTTCCATAAAAGCAGCACTTAATTTGTGATTGATTTGAACTAATACAAAAATTTGTCATCAACATAAAAACAAATATTTCTGCACTTTGCAAGGCTTTCCGCTGATTACACAGCAAGTTTGCAAACTTTGAGTTGAATTTAGAGTTTTGTTGGACTAAGGAATCATAATAAAAAATATTATATATAATCTTACACCAACTGAACATATTTGTGTTAAAAAACTGCATTTATGTTTGTGTCTTTGATGGTAACTTAAACTGTGACAATTTATGACCAACTCTGGACAGTTACAATTATGTAAGGATAATCATTTATTTATAGTGAATGTGTTCAAATCCAGTGGTGATTAGGTAACAGATGTTTTCCTTTCACAGCAGAGGGCAACAGACCACACATTAACTAATGGTTTGTTGGTTATTTTAGGGGGAACTGAGTGACCTTATTGCCCACTTAAGTGTTCTGGTGCACACTGACCCAAAAGTACTAATTGGTCACATTCACATGATGTTCTTACACCCGTGAACAGGGAGACATTTTGTCTTTGGGGTTGTTGAAAGTGCAATTATTAAATGATGCATAATGATCACCATGTTTCATAGGTTAATGCAGGATGTTCAACTGCTCCATTTTGAAGTCTGTACAGAAGCTGGTTAGTAACAGGATATTTAAACAATAGTGTGTTCAATGTATCAATAACAAGCAAAATTGCATTCATTGTAGACCACTATGTGTTTGAACAAATACAGCAATAAAGCACAACTTAACAAAATGACTGCACCCTTTTATTTTGGATACAAAAAATTCAGGTTTTTAAAAATCCTTAGCTGTTCAGACAACAAACGAACTATTAACTAAAATGATCAGCTGTATAATTTTTTGTTTTTGATCAGCCAGATGTATTATTTTCTTACATATTTATGGTTATTTCTGTGTTACATAATTCAATACTGAAAAAAGTCTAAATCAAAAGATTTTAGCTAGAGAAATTTACAATACAATAGGATTTATAATAAACCAAAACTGTGAAATCGCATCTTCTCATTGTGGTTAAACAGTCTGTTGCCTATTTTAGAATTTATTCTAGTTTGTGTTAACCCAAGATATTAGCTTTAACCCAATTTGGTTTAATTACTTAAAACCGACGGGATTCATTGTTATATATTCTTTCAAATAATAATTGACATCTCAAAGTCATTTTGAAGACACATCTTGACAACAGAATCAACAACTTGCCTTAATCTTTATTATAATGTATAATTTCCAGAAGACATAATTAATTTTTTTAATTAGTATAAAGTGCTTCTTAAGCTTGTATAGAGCAATCTTGTTAGCGATGCTGAATCACAAATATCACCTAATCCAACACCTCAGGGTGTGTGGGAAGACATCATGCCAGATTTTGCAGGGTGTGTGTTAAAAACTAATGTTGGGTGTTTCTAAACACACACCAACAGCACGATCTGTGTGTTACATCAAACAAGCTGTGAATCTGAGATTGTTTCAAAGTCAGCAGCTTCACAAACTCCTTCCCAAGCATCACACAAAGTTTACTTTTACTAGCATATGAACATATTTTTATCTTCAGTGGTATTATAATTGAATATTCCACCAGTATACTACTCATGTTGAAATTTTTTGTCAGATATGGAAATCCTGCAAACCTTTTGTTGTTTTTATAATATAATAAATAATAAATAATTTAAAGGTTTTCTCTATTTCTTGTTTCAGGGGAAGAAAAAGGACGGTGTTTCACCATTGAATATGTGATGCCCACTACAGTCCACATGACATCTGAGTCCACTGTCAGTGTACTCAGTAAGTAACTCCTCATTTAGAACAAGCTTTTGCAAGAAGTTGTGAAACATTTTTATCATAGGTCTGGTACGATTTACTTACTTATAACTTCCTTAAGTCATAAGAATAACTTAAGGAAGTGTGCAAAATTTACAAACTGCATGTTCAAAGTTTTATCCACAAAATAGGTAAAACAGGTCTTTAGGGTAATAGCTACTATTTAAGAAGATATTTTGCAAAGACATGTTTTCAGTGAGCTGGTCCCTCAGTACCTTGAATTACAGTAATTATAGTTGTCCAGTCTAGAGAGGCAATACAATGTACAAGTTTTTCAAAAGAAAGACAAACTTTTAACAAATTATCACATCTTTCAAGGTCTGGTTCAAGTAATTATAGCATCCATCCATCCATCCATTTTCTGTACACGCTTCTTCCTTTTCAGGGTCGCGTGGGTCACTGGTGCCCATATCCAGCAGTCTATAGCAAATGATAAATTATTTGGGTCAATGGCTTGTTTTGTTTTTTGTTTTTTTCCTCAGAAATTCACAAGCTGCTACCAGGCAGGCATTAACCACAGACCTATCAAGATGGCGGGGCAGATTTGTATCTTGTTAGCATAGACTGCTGTGGTTGGTCAAACCAGTGTATTTGTGTTTCAGTGGTTTCAACAGCAACTTCTTTTCATCTCCCTTAAGCCATGATCAGTGCTGGAGTATATTCTGACTTTTTAAACATTTATAAAGATTTTATCACTTTAGGTTTTAAGCTTCAGAAATTGTTGTTTGAGGTAAACATTATTGATATTTTTAAAACTATCTCTCATAGTTAAACTTCTGTACAAAAGGACAGTGAGTAAATATTTCAATTCTCTGACAAATTTAGACTTTCATCACTTAATTAATTTCTCCTGCATTTTTTTTACTTACACGTCACATTTGTAGGTACAGTATAATGAGATTTCGATGTTGATTTGAAGGTACAATTTTACCATTTAGGAGCAAATATGTATTCAGAGTTTTAGTTGATATCAGGAAGTTCTGCCAAATTAACAAACTTGGAAATGACCACTCAGTGATTTAGTCTTGATTAAAATTTATTGCTGCAGTTTTCTGATTAATGATAAGCCAGTATTGACAAATAGCAAATGTTTCTCTTTATATTAAGTTTAATCTAAAGTCAAAACAGCCAGAGTCATTTACATTCAGTCCACGCCTCTGTTCCCTTACTTCAACTCTTCTGTGGTTTGTGTTATTTCTGGCCCAGCCCTTGTGAACTAACCACTGAAGATAAGAGCTCTGTGTTTATGAAAAATGTAGGAGTGCCATTTTCATTTTTTAACACCTCCTACAGAGGGAACATGCTGGGAAATACATGACTTGTAGTCCGCATACAAGCAGTGAGTGATTTTAAGACAGCCACTTCAGATCTAATACCCCTGGTGTCCTCAAGATGTGGACTAAAAATGGATTTTTGATGTCAAAGATGTAATAAATTGCCCAACAAAGGAAAAACTGGTGCAGAACAATTGTATCCTTTTCAACTCTGAACACTGTCATTCTCCTCTTTATGGATTTCAAGGCAGACAATTCAGTAAAGTGATTATCTAAGTAAATAAATGATTGACAAATGTCTTCATCCATTTTTCAAATGACTAAGAACAAAGGAAATATTGGTGTCTGAATGAAATCATGAAATGCAATAAATTTCACAACCTGTCTTTTTAAGAAAAAGAAAGGTATCACAAGAAAAGAAAAACATGAAATTTGCTGATGTCAGAGTTAACGCTGAAAGAAAATTTATGGAAATATATAAAATGAAATCAAAAAGTATATAAAAGTTTCTTTGATTAAAATAATGAATATTGGGGTGTATTGTTGTTCTCAAAATATGGCATATTATGGTCAAATTAATTTGAACGAATGTAACATAACTGACTCATTGTGAATCAAAACAAATGTATTTCAAATTAGTTTTTCTAAGTGGCTGAAAATCTGCAAAAATTCTGATAAATAAGTTTGTGATGTAAGCCAAACTTTAGTGTTGTGGCATTAGACATCAGCTTCACTGAGCTGGCAGACAAACTTTTGTTGTTGTTGTCAAAAAAACAGAACAGGGGGCATCTAGAAATGGTGCCCCTAACTCTCTTGGCTCCCTGCAACTGTGGACAGTCTTTCCTCAAACAAAATTATGTTCCAGCTATCTGAGATCAAAGAGTCAACACCAAAACCCAAGAAATTCCTTCATGAGGAAATATCTCAGTTTTGTTTGGAAAAATAAAATAAAAAACTTTATGCTGCGGGCTTTTGCAATATTTCAAAATTCTTTAAAACTTTCAAAAGCTCTGTCAAACTCTTCTGCCTTTTTAACCTCATTCTCTTCTCTTCTGTTCTCTAGAGATGATTCGTTCTTCCACACCCTTTCCTCTGGTCAGCCTCTTCTTCATGTTTATTGGTTTTGTGCTCAGTAACATTGGCCATATTCGTCCACATCGCACCATCCTGGCCTTTGTTTCTGGAATCTTCTTCATCCTTTCAGGTACATTTCTTGTACACTTCCAAACACATGCAAGGGGTTGAAAAAGAATGTCATTAAAAAGTAGTGGTGTCCCAATACCAATACTGGTAACAGAATCGGGCCCTATACCAACATTTTTACAAGTACTATTGGGTCGTTTTGACCTGTAGGACTTCAGAAGCAGCTGATGGGTACCGGCATTCCAAGCAGATTGCGGCTCGGGTGGTTGCTGAGGCAATAACTCGGGTCTGGGAGGAGTTCAGAGAGGCCATGGAAAAAGACTTCCATACGAGGTGATTCTGGTCCACCATCTGGTGTCTCAGGGGGGGAAAGCAGTTCACCACCAACACTGTTTATAATGGGGATGGTGCACTGCTGACTTCAACTCGAGATGTTGTGGGTTGGTGGGCAGAATACTTTGAAGACCTCCTCAATCCTACATCTTCCAATGAGGAAGCAGAGCGTGAGAACCCTGGGTTGGACTCTCCGAACTCTGGTGCTGAGCTGGTTTAAAAGCTCCTCAGTGACAAGGCGACGAGGGTGGATAAGATTCGCCTGGTGTTCCTTAAGGTTCTAGATGTTGTGGAGTTGTGTTGGTTGATGCGACTCTGCAATATGTAGTGGGAGAAGTTCCCCTGGATTGGCAGACTGCAGTCCCCCCTTTTAAATAGGGGGACCACCATCCCAGAGTGTGTTCCAACTGTAGGGGGATCACACTTCTAAGCCTCCCTGGAAAGGTCTATTCAGGGATCCTGGAGAGGAGGGTCCATCGTATAGTCGAATCTCAGATTCAACTAGAGCAGTGTGGTTTTCGTTCAGTTTGTGGAACAGTGGACCAGCTCTACACCCTCAGCAGGGTCTTGGAGGGTGCATGGGAGTTCGCCCAACCAGTCTACTTGTGTTTTGTGGACTTTAAGAAGGTGTTCAACCGTGTCCCTTGGGGACTCCTGTGGGGGGTACTCCGGGAATATGGGATACCAAGCCCTCTGATATGGGCTGTTAGGGCCCTGTACAACAGAACTTTGTCTACATTGCTGGTAGTAAGTCAGACTTGTTTTCAGTGAGATTTGGACTCCGCCCAGGTTGCCCTTTGTCCGATTCTGTTCATAACTTTTATGGACAGAATTTCAAGGTGCAGCCAAGGTGTTGAGGGGAACCATTTTGGTGACCTAAGGATCACATCTCTGCTTTTTGCAGATGATGTGGTCCTATCAGATTGTGATCTCCAGCTCTCACTGGAGCAGTTTGCAGCCGAGTGTAAAGAAGCCGGAATGAGGATCATTGCCTCCAAAATCTGAGACCATGGTCTTGATCTGGAAAAGGACAGGGTGCCTCCTCCGGGTCTGGGAGGAGGTCCTGCCCCAAATGGATGAGTTTAAGTATCTCGGGGTCTTGTTCACGAATGAGGTAAGAATGGAGCAGGAGATCAACAGGTGCATTGGTGCTGCATCTGCAGTGATGCGGGCACTCTACCAGTCTGTCGTGGTGAAGCGAGGGCTAACCCAAAAAAGGAAGCTCCAGATTTACTGGATGGTCTACGTTCCTACCCTCATCTATGGTCACGAGCTGAACCAGCCAAAATGTTTCCTCCGCAAGCTGTCTGGGCTTTCCCTTAGAGATAGGGTGAGAATCTCAGTCATCCGGGTGGGACTCAGAGTAGAGCTGCTGCTCCTCCATGTCGAGAGGAGCCAGTTGAGGTGGCTTGGGCATCTGGTTAAGAAGCCTCCTGGACGCTTCCCTGGTGAGGTGTTCCAGGCACGTCCCACTGAGAGGAGGCCCAGAGGAAGACCCAGGACACGCTGGAGGAACTATGTCTCTCAGCTGGCCTGGGAACACCTTGGGATTCCCCCAGAGAAGCTGGCCCATTTAGCTGGGGAGAGGGAAGTCTGGGTCCCCCTGCTTAGGCTGCTGCCCCCTGTGACCTGTGACCTAAGTGGAAGAAAATGGATGGATAGTTGGAATACTTTTTGCAAATTTTTATTCACCATCAGTTTTGTTTGTGTATTTTATATTGGTCTCCCACAGGTCTCTCTCTGGTTGTTGGCCTGGTCTTGTACATCTCCAACATTAATGATGAAATGCTGAACAGGACCAAAACGAACGAGGCCTACTTCAGCTACAAGTATGGCTGGTCATTTGCTTTTGCTGCCATCTCTTTCCTGCTCACAGAGGTATTAATCATTCATGTTTTTTTTACAAGTTATGCCTATTTTTCTGCTTCATACTTGTTTTATATAAACAAAAAATGAGTGTGTAAAAAAATACCCATTGCTTAGTCTCTCCTTCCTTTCAGACTGCAGGCGTCATGTCAGTGTATCTGTTCATGAAGCGCTACACTGCAGAAGAAATGTACAGACCTCATCAGGGCTTCTACCAGCCTCGCCTCAGCAATTGCTCTGATTACTCAGGCCAGTTTCTCCATCCAGATGCCTGGGCAGGACGCGGCCGCAGCCCCTCCTCCATCTCCTCCGAGGCCTCTCTCCAAATGAACTCCTCCAACTACCCTGCCCTTCTCAAATGTCCAGAGTATGAACAGATGTCCTCTTCTCCCTGCTGAGGCAGAGAAACAGTGGCACTATTCTAACGCTGTTTGAGTTATTTTGATCTGCCTTGGACCAGACTTATATCTGTTAAATAGTTTGATATCATTCAGCTTGAAGTATTTACTTCAAGAGAAAAAAGAATGCTTGATTTCGCTTTCCCTCCTCAACTGCTAGTTTTTATTCACTTTTTTTTTTTGGTTTTGTAAGAAACAAAACAGGAGTTCAAGGTTAGCTACATTGGGTCTTGTTTCAGGCAGGGCTGTTCCAAGATGTGAGAGAAAGTAGTTGGACAAGTTTGTACTTTTGCTTCTCTCACACTTACAGGTGTTTAGCAGCTACATTTACAGTTTAAAGCTAGATAGAGAACTACAGGAAACAGACGCAGACTTTGTGCATTACAAACACAAACAAACAAATGGTTTCGTGAGTAATTTCATCCAGAAAAGCTGCAACTAATGGGTGAAACAACCTGCTGTGGGTGTGGAAGGATCTCCCTGTTCCATGAGGAGATTTCCGTGGCTTAGAGCTGTTCTTCTCTTTGTGCCGTTCATGTTCTTGTGCACTTTATCGTCTTCACATGCATGTTTTTGTCATGTTCAGAACTGAAGTTTAGAGCTAACAGTTTCTAGATCAATGGCAGATTTAATAAAAAGACACAATAAATACAAATTTTAATGTCAAACAAACCATAATCTGACAAATCTTTTAGTCAACCTGTTGCTCTATAGGCTGACATAAAGTAAGTGTTCTTTTATATATATAAAAAGGAATATATTTAATGTTTATTATATTTGTTTTTCCAATGTTAAACTATTCATGTTTAAATTTTTTTATCTGGACAACAAATCAAGTTTAGTTTACTTATAATGCATTTTAGACTCCTTTATGTTGGACCTACAGTATTTCTTGTTATAAAACTTTGAGTTTTGTGTTAGAACTGTCTCATGTATGTGAGATGCTTTAAATGCCTACATTTGGTTTTATAAAGATCAGATAAACGTTTACTGTATAAATGTATATTGTTGTAAAGAAAGCAAATATGCATCATTACTTTCATAATGTGTCGTGTGCAATAACATGTAGAGCAGCTTTAAATCAGTGAAGACAAGGCAGTATAAACTTAGCACAAAAAGTGAGAAAATGTGTTTATTGTAACAATTTTGTTTGGCAATAAATCGCATTCTGTTGTAAAGAGTGTTTATTTCTCATAAAGGGTGTCACATTTGTTAGGAATAGACTCTGCTACTCTTGGGTTTTGTTTATTAGATTGGTTGATTAGAGTCTGAAGAAACAAGACATGATGGAAGTTTAACAATTTCTTTATTCTATGACCAGGGACCTCCGTAACATATGGAAGAACCATACACATCCACAACAGCCTGATGCCTTGTCTTTATGCAAGCTGCACAGATTGTCCTTCAGATTGTCCCCCAATTTGCAGGTATACAGACAGATTTCTTCAAAAAATATTGTTCAAATTTATTTAAGTCTCAGAGCTGTAAGGAAGTGTGTTCCCAAGATCCTCATCCTCCCCTCCCTCCTCTGCCGCTGCAGATGCTTTTATCTCTGCCCTCTTGTTCTCTCCTCGGCCAACAGTCCGCTTGTCTAAATTATGTGAAAATTACAGATTTCTGAGAGTCAGGTTAACACCAAGCAATTTTAACAAATGTGGCACCAAATAGAAATAAACAGGCTTTTCAATACTACAGGATTTATTACCAAGAAATGTTTGTGCAACAAAAAAAATTAATGACCAAACACAAATTTCTTTACCTTTTGTTCTAAGTTTAGAAACAATAAAAAAAACTTTTAATCCTAGCTGTCTATAAAGTTAGTCGAGCTAGTCAGTATAGAAGTTGTAACTAACCATTTTCAAGGAAATCAAGCAGAATAAGGACAGAATTCTTTAACTAAAAAGAGTTTTAGATATGAAAAAAACAAGACATTTAGATTTTTGTGTTCAATTCGAATTGTGAATGAATCAGCTGGAATAAAGTAATATTCTCATATGAAGCCCTTGTGAATGTAAATATGGGGCCCCAAGTGTAAAATAAAATGTTGAAAAATGTCACTAACTATTTTTTATTTGTCTCTCTTTCTGAGTGTATAATCGTTGTGAAAATTTTTCCATTAACATTTTTTTAGTTATTTAGCTCACTGTTGTTACATTTTGCTATGTTTTATGTTTAATTTAAATGTTTAAATGCAAATATTAAATCCTGCATCTAAATGTTTATATATATGTTAAATCTTAAATGTTGCAGCTAAATGACAAAGCTTACATTTATGAATTTTGGAATGCACTTAAAAAAACCAGCCACAACTGCGAGATTGATGTTTTATTAGGGAAGCGTTACCAGTGAGTTTTAGCAGTGTTAGCAGTGGTTGCTTATCTCATGATGATGATGTCATAACGAGAGCCACACATCGTCAATGACAAAGGCTGTGTTCCATTCCAAAATACATAAATATAAAATAACATTTAGCCACAACATTCAAGATTTAACTTTTACATTTAAATTTAGGATTTAACACTTAAATTTAACATTTAATAAAAATGGGCAAAATATAAGAACATTAAGCTAAATAATAAAATGTTAGTAGAAAATTTTAAAGTAGGATTTTACACTCAGAATGTGAGCTAAATAATGAATATGTTAGAGACATTTTTTAACATTTTATTTTATTTTGGTGCCCCATACGTACGTAAGATGCATTGAAGGAAACCCTGCTAATTGAGATTCCTCTGCATTAAATACCTCTCCTAATGATATTATAGTCTTGACACAATTTACAGAAAATTATTTTTCTAATATAGCCTACTCCATAATGAAAAAGGTTTTTTTTTATGAATTCAGCAACCAGTCATGATTGTTAGTGTACCAAGGGTGATACTGTACCAGGTTTATTAGTTTTTAAACTTTTATGCTATTTTTACAATTGCAGCAGCATGTGAGTAAACATATTACACAAGTACATTCTGTCTTGTGCAAACATTTCATGTTGGTTTGATGTTTTAGTAAGATTTTATTTAACTTCATTATGTCATATTGCATGGTGTTACTAGCATGTAACATTTTGGCATTTCCACCTGCTCAAAAAACTCAACTTCTAGTCACAAACTGTCACAATAAAGCTTTGTTTTGGTAAGTTGACTTGTTAGCATTTTGTTAGTCTCAAACACTGTAAATAAAAATGAGGTTGGGTGTACATAAACCTGTGCAGTATGTGAAGAAACAATGTTCTGTTGTTTTGTAGCTTCTGCAGTAACAGCTGCTTTGCCTCCTGCTTCACATTAAAGAATGTGAACTTATGCATATTGTAATGCTTACACATATTAACCAAGCACATGTTGTCATAGACATGAAATATCCACATACTGTGTGTATTTTTATAATCAGTCATTTTCATGATGTTAAATGTGCAATGGATGGTACTCAATAAAATGTAATTTATTTGGATTTAATAAAAACTGAGTTTGATTCTTTTTTAACCATCCGCATGTCTGGATTACAAACAATATGCTTGTTAGTTTTATTTTGCTAAATAAAGAATGCATGCTTTTATTAGCTCAAAAGAACCTGGAGGAAGTAGTTTTTTTCTTCATACACAGAACAGTTCTGTAATAAAAAAAAAACAAAGTCAAAAATGAGTTATTGTCTTTCATTAGAGCTGCTTAAAAAATCTCAAATACTTGTTTGATCTTGTCTTCTTTTATATTATGACATTATTAAGCACATTTGTGACCCATCATATCAAAATGAGGATTAAGTCAAATTTGGTCAAAATTATTTAACTACATTTTTAGATTACGGGCTTTAAAAGCTACATTTTGATACCTGGATCGTTCTGATATCAGAAGCTTATTCAGAGAAAGGGTTTAATTTGTCTTGTTGGTTATGATGATACATTACTGTTTGGTCTGAATCCTAATTTTTATGTATATTTATTGAGTATTTTTATGTTAATTTAAAGAGAGAACCTGAAATATTATTTGTTTATTAAGATTTCCCAGCTGGAAAGAAACAAAAATATTTCTAGCTCACAGGTAAATTTTCAAAATTTTAAGGCGTTTTTCCTCAAAATCAGGTTTTTTGTTGCTACTGCTGAAAAAAGGCTTCAAATTTTTTTTGGTTTTATATTTCAGACAGTTCATTCAAATAATACATTGATAAGGCATTATTTTTATTATGTTTTGACAAAATGCAATTTTTGTAGACGTTTTAATCAAAACCCTATTTTTCTTCAAAACTTGAAAGTAACATGAGGCACTGTTTCATGCAATATTGCCAAATGTAAAAAAAAAACAAAAGTTGACGCCAACATTTAATGCTAAAGATTTCACACAATGAGTAGCAAAAGTATGTGTTTTGAATAGTCTCAATGAACACCAAATATCTGTAAAATTGTTTGAATCACAGTCATTTTATGTTAGCTATAAGCTCATTGTCATTTCAAATCCAGTTGTCTTCTAAAGTTAATCAGTCATAGAGAATTGTCTGATGATAATGACTTCTGAAGTCTCAGCACTCACCATATGAACTGGGTGTCAGTCAACACATTTTGGGTCAAAATTTGTAAAACTGACTGAGGTCTTCATTTTTGTGTTTGATAAAGTTGCTTAGCTGTGGCAGCCATCTTGAATGGTGTCCAATCCAGTGGTAGTTATATATGAAGCAAATACATTTTGAACGTTTCATCAGAATCATCCTCTGGTTCATCAGTGTGCATTGCCAATGCAATGCACACTATTGTGATTCATTTCCCATCCAAGTCATCTCAACTTTGCCATGCTTCTCCTCCTGCGTACTTTGTCCTAGAGCTGCCATTGTAATTTATATCTGTAAAGCTCCTGAGCCAAATGATGGCTATGCATTTTGGTGCCTGTAAAACTTATAGTTTTTGAAATATTAATGTTTAATAAATTATAATGAATCAATGGAGCCTTGTATTGGTCCAATACTGTCCCCTGCTGCATCTACACAATATGGTACTGCACCATAGTTTCATAATATTTAAACTCAGTAGTTCAGTGATAACAATATTAATATGATTGTATTTTGATGTTTTACTGTAATACTGTCTTTATGTTGTCCCATTGTTGTAATATATTGCACTTAAGTGTCAATAATTGCATTGGAAATGTAAACTTTTTCTGTATACATACAATCCAATCCCTGGGATTGTCCTCTGCCACATCTCCTATAGTCTCATGATGAGCACTGTGGGCTTTCATGCGGAAGATCAGGGTTCAAATCCAGCTACTGCAACTTTAACAAAAATCTCTTCAAACTTCATATTGTCACACAATTGCCTTAATTACAAACACCTGCTGACGTGACAGGCACAAGCTGGTATAGAAAACACATTTGAACTTGGTCAAAGTTCATTCTGAAAGTCCAATGCTCCTGCCTACATTGTCCTACAGCTGCCATTGTAATTTCTATCTGTAAAGGTCCTGTGCCAAATGATTGCTATGCCTTTTGGTACCTGTACAGCTTGTAGTTTTTGAAATATTAATGTTTAAACTTTATTCCAAATTCATAAAATGGGAGCAAATGGGCCTTGTAATGGTCCAATACTGCCCCCAGCTTTACTCAACTTGGTACTGCACCATAGTTTTTTAATATTTAATCTCAATAGTTCAGTGTTTACAATACTAATATGATTGTATTTTGATGTTTTACTATATCATTATCTTAATATTGCTCTATTGTTGTAATATTATGCAGTTTAGTGTCAATAATTGTATTGGCAATGTGGCCTCCTTCTGCACACATACAAACCAACCCCTGGCACCACACCCTGCCACAGCTCCAACAGTCTAATGGTCTATGTCACAGGCTTTCATGTGGGAGATCAGGTTTCAAAACCCAGCTAACGCAACTTTAACAAAAAATCTCTTCGAACTTCATATTGTCACTCAATTACCTTAATTACAAACACCTGCTGACATGACAGGCACAAGTTCATTCTGCAAGTCCAATGCTGCTGCAATGGCATGCCACATGGCAATGCACACTTGTTTTTACATCGTAAAAACCCATGTCTAGTTAAATGTGCAATCTGATTGTCATGCAATAAGGCTAAATTATGACCTAGTTAAAAATACATTTTTAAAAGTTTTAAGGAAATCCAGTAGAAATACTGTAAGTCTGTAATTATTTTAAAGATTGTTGACTGCATTGATTC